GGGAGGGTGTAAGGGAGGTGAGGGAAGCCCTACAGTATGGGGAAGGGGAGAAAACACAGAAAACACGGGAGATGCAGGCAGATTGACAGGAATAACTGCTGGCTGCCACGTGACTTGAACAACAATAAGAAGCAACGGATGGAGTGTAGTAAGCCGGTGCAACATGTAAAAACGTGTAACATATTAGCATTGAGTTGTAAAATGGCAATGAGTAAACTTATAATGTAAAATTATGTATAGTAAAATCTATGCACTCCATCAAATACTTTCAGTTATATTATTATTAATATTTTATTAATATCAACTTACTTGGTAGACATTCTTTGCCAATATTTGGTCTGGAATTAAAGACGGCTCCTTTAGCATGCTGCTGATGACACTTTTAGAGGCTGAAAATGAGAGAAAGGAATGAAAATGAGGAAATGAATTTAATTAAGAGGATAAAAATGGACCTGAAAAACCCTCCGCAATGTTCAAAACGCAATYAGAATGTCAAATAGCCATTTTTAATAGAGATCAAATATGTCACACAGAGCAAATATAGACACAAAAAACAGCCTGAAGATTCTGCAATTTACCAGGCATATAGTTAATGTCGTATTTCTACACTTGTCCATTACAAAGCCTATGCAGATTTTCTGTAGATAAATGTTTCAGTCCACAGCACAGGCACTTCATGTAGTTTATCTGTGTTATAAATGCTGACTATTCTGCATCTCTCCTCCCATTCTTGCTCTACTAACATTATAAATCAGAAAAGAAAGCCTGCTGGATTGGCTTGCAGTTACTGTAGGGAGCAAAAAAAAAAAAAAAAAAAAACCTTAAATCACTTCTTAAAAAGATTTGGATTAAATGGATTGTATCATTGTGTGACGAAATGGTTGAGACATGCCATTTTAGTGATATATTTATACACATGCTTAAGACAGATGTGCAGCGGCATTACAGGAAACAATTCTATGCACATTTCAAGCATGGATTGCAATGTTATAGAAATTCTCAAGTTCTACCAGAGAAATGCAAACAATACAAGCCATTGAAAAACAATATTTTGTTTTAAATAAAGCTATAAATCCTTAAAAATCTTGGGTTAAAGATACTAAATTATTAAGTCTTAGTTTATTAAATTTGATAGACTCTTCTTTTCAGTCCTAACACATTTTAGCATTATTTGTWGAGAAAAAAGAACAACGTCGTGATTCCTCATCTGTTCTATGATGAATTAAAAAAAGGTGGAAGAGGAACAAAGGCCATTTAGCACATCTTTGTCTTGTGTTTCTTTTATCTTTGTCTCCACCTTCAAGCTTTCTCTTTTTGCAACCAACCTGCTTTTTGTTCCATCTCTTCCAGCCTCAATGCTCTACCAGCCCACCCCATAAACCCACACGTCCCTCTTAGAGCTGCGAGGCACAGGGCTGTGCTTTATTTCGCTGCTCATTTTTCTTAGAGATTGGTACCTTCGCACTCAAATCCATACCATGCTCCTATGCAGTGCAGGCGGCGGTGAAGAAAGAGGGTTATATTTTCCCCTTGAGTTAGGACACCTCTTGACAAATGATAATGGATAATCGATAAAGTGGGAAATATGAGGCAGCAAACTTTATGAAGCTAGGAGACATATTACTCCCCAACAAACACTGGTTTCTCTTAACAAAGTCACTACTCGACTGTGCCTAATAATCTGAAGGAAAATCAAAGGACCTGCAACCACATCAGCAATATTGGCAACTTATTCCACTTTAATGGCATTTTGATTGATTTTTTCCTCTCTTTCTAATGGTCGTTTTATAGATCTGACGCTGCTTCTGCAAAACAGTAACGTGTAATAAACCTCCCCGAAGGCAAACGGTAGCCATTAAAGCTCTTGTCTTACTAGGGCTCATAATTGGAGGTTGACCACCACCACATTCTGGTCTCTCACATAACACACACAACTAGAACTAGACTTATATTTCTTGTCTCTAAAGCCCTTTGATGTTTTAGCCCAATATGTTTTTTTGTTGTTGATGGTTATAATAAGTGATAAGATGATGTTCCCCTGCTCTTTTTCAGCAATGGGGCTAAAAGTAGCCATAAGTAGGTGACCTTGGCGCTGACATTGTAGAATTTCAACCAAGCATTGACCTGATGAAAATGGAAGGCCAGGCTGCTAATAAATCAGGATGCTTTTAAAATGAGTTTACCCTAATGCTCATTCATCACACACTGTAATGCCATTTGCCAGCCCAGGATTCGCTGCTGTGCACAAACACAGCAGTAAATAACAACAGGGCCCTTGCATCCTTCGCATCGTTGCAGCCTCCAACATCAGCATACATTTATTAAAGACGCCCCCGTCTTGCACAGCGGCACACCTCCATGACACCCTAAGCTCTTCTCTGGTACACACACACACACACACACACACACACGAGCCTTTTTTTTTTTTTCAAACACACGGTTGCACTCATAAGAAAATGTGCAGAAAAATAAAAAGCATAATCAGAAGAACAACAGACACGGAGAACAAAGCCCTGCAGCACAACTTTGCACCTTGTAAACATTCACCAAATTTACTGTAATTGTCCCATGTTGGTATAAATCCTTACTAAGGCACCATATCACACCGTCAACATCTGAACAGAAAGAACAGAGAAGAGGAGAATAATAGATGTGAAACACTACGCCTCCATTGGGATTTGCTAAAGAAAACAACCAGTGTAAACAAATCACAAGCCTGTTTTCATATGCAACTCCAAAACAAGATACACAGCAAGGTAACAACAACCCAACCTTGGCTTGGGTTTCATTTCTTACTTGTGTTATTTTGTAACTACTCTTCTCTGAAACAAAAAGTCATTATCTGAAATGCAAAAATATAGAGAAACCTCATTAAAAAGCAACATTTGTAGAGGGAGGACCGTGATAGACAATAATGGATGACAACTGTTATTGCCACTGACACTGATGAGCTCCTTTGGAAGTTTGTTTATTAATTAAAAAACCCACTACTTTCCGTGGTCGGGGGGGGCAGTCACCAATTTCCTTCATACACCCCCTCCCCTTACACTCCCCATGCACAAGCCATTGAGCTGTGGAGGGGCACTCGTTCATCAAACTTCATGGAGCTTGGGAGAGACAGGTTCTGATAATGTGCGCCGCTAAAGCTGATTTTCCATGATGAATCTCGGAGCATATAAATTGGCTAATATCTGAAAACATTTACAGATACTAGAGGAATTGACTACTTGTGGGACATGATGGATGAGCCTCTCCAACACTGGCCGACAGCTCTGCAAATCTCTGCGGCTGCCTAAAGCCCTCATTTGATTTTCCAATTTACTCCTTTTAAATTTATCCTCCCGCACTGAAAAAAAGATGGGAAAAGAGGAAGAGTAGAAGACGAGGAGCAGAAAAAAAAACATCTTTTTTTTTTTTTTTACTATCCATGGTGGTGTGTGGGTGTTAGTTGATAATATGAAGGTAGTATCTCGTGTGCAGGAGGAGCCCAGTCCCTGAAGAGGTTACTGGGGCAGAACTGATCTGCTTCCATCTGATTCTTCTTGATAGCGGTGAGATGAAACTCTACATTTCAGTGTGTGTGTGAATGCACGTGTGTGTCTATGAATGTGTGTGCAGTTGGAGTAATAGTAGACCAAGGGAGGCTCTGCTATAGAAAGATGCTTCCCAGGTCAGGCCATTAGAGTGTGGCAAAGACTGACTGGAGCTCATATGCTGAAAAGGAGTAATTAGTATACTTGTCAAGTGAGGTGCCATGGTGCTGCTTACCTCCCTTACACACACACACACACACACACACACACACACACACACACACACACACACACACACAC